CATCGGATATAAAAAATCACGCTCACGTTGTCCGATCAATCAAACCTGAATTCAAACCGAAATTTGCATCCGATTTCGCATGTTGAATATGAAAACAGCGGTACGGTATGTATAAGTGGGAAGCGTTAGAGGGACGAAATGATACCGTTTCCGGTTTTATCATACGGACGGTGTTAGCTTCGGCCGATCTCATAAATTGGTGTCACTCGATTGCATGGCTACGAGGCCATCAGCGTCCAATAAATTTATGCGACAATTGATGCCCGTGCTGCCCGGTCGTCTACGTTGAAGAGCTGCCTTCACTCGAAATCTAATTGGTCGCGGCTGAACGCGCGTCGAATATGCCATTAATCGAAACGGAGTAACGGTAGCGTCGTCACGTTTCCTCGTCTTTTGCCTAAACGAGGTAAACTTGGGTTCGACACGTCGTATAATCTGCCTTTCTTCGTGTTTGTAGTACAGATGCGAATTTCAGTCGAATCTCGTTATAATCTGCCAGAACGATGGAGAAATAATACTATTATAAATAATTGTAATTAGATATTACGTCATTCATTAGTACCGGTATTGTACGTAAAAATAATTTAATTTTTTGCTAGGTATAAAATTAATTATACTAATGTACTCCGAATATGTTAATTGTAATAATATTAAACTTGTATATGTATATGCATTTATCAATATGAAATGAGATCTCATACGTCGACATCTGTAACTCTATTTTCCGTTCATTATAAACGAGCATCCAAAAGAGAGGAATATTCGTTAGGCGAATAATTTCGTGATTAAATAATGAGAACGCGCGGGGAGCATATTAGGGAAATTCGTTGTTTCACTGAAAATTTATTCGTGCGCAGTGCAAAAATAAAGCAGCTGCCGTATATAAATCATGTTCCTTTCTTCGCGGGAGAGCAATGCGGTTTCGATCCGTGTTGCCTTTGACGTGAACTGGTTGGATACGCCATAAATGGGTAACACGATGAAAGAGAAGTTTCCTGTTCCTGGAAAAAAGTTGCCTCTTCGAACAGCGAAGAATTTCTCGAACGATTCGTCCACTCATCGATTCAATACGTATAAAGATACTTGATCGGAAAGAAATCAATACCTACCTACGCTTTCTAAAGGCAATTAGGAAGTAGAGCAGAATGCTCCAATAAGAGTATACGGAATCTTTTTCCTTGTTATAGTATATTATAGCTACGCAATGTTACAGTAACTCGGTACTTTTACAAATAATGAACAAACTTTCAAGTGCGTAATCGATAACTACCAACGTTAATTTTCCATCGTATCCAACTGACTGATCAAATTGCGAGAGTAGTTATAGAACGGAAAATCTACAATTTCATATTCTGTCGAACCGGAAAAAATTTTTTATCGAATTTTCGCTGGATCGCGGTTCGTCGAAAATCATCGGAAGTTAGTACGTTGAAAATCGGGTATCGCGTTTGCAATGCATGGTTAGGTTCAAAACTCTCGCTTTAATTCGAATGAGACGGTACGAAAAATGCTAAAAGAGTGTCTGCCGCTTAAATATGAAAAAAGAAACTCGGGAGAATATAAAACATGATTCGACCGGGCGGAGAAAATTAAGCGTTCTGAGGGTTGCAGGAAGGATGGCATTCACGCAAATAATTCGAAGACGCGGTCGCTTGGTAATTATTCAAAGCAGATATCTGAAGGGCCCAATTAGCGTCAGTTCCTTTCCAAGACTTTCTTCGAGGGCATTGCCCGGTTCCGTAAATTAACCGTATTAAAAACAACAACCATGAACAACGAATTCTGGGACCTCGAGGTTCATTTCATAATTTTTCAATAACCAATTGCCGTTGGTTATTGATCATAACGTAATTGATAATTTCCATATAATAAGTAATAGCCATTCTTTACGTATTTACAATTTACGAGTCACTAAAAATTTCACGATATTGATCGACAATGGTGCGTAAAACAAACCGTGAAAACACGGGATTTTCTATAAAACTTCGCACGGTCGTATTTCATGTCACTGCTTTATTGTCAATTTGCTGTAAATGCGTATTTATTGCCACAGTTAGAGATATATCTATGCACTTGAAACATGGATGCGCACTCTACAATATTGTGTACTATAGAATTGAATATCCATGGTATTCAGCTCGATCCTTGATGATCCACTAGCTTGATCAACAGTGGAATTGAAATGCATGTTGTTGTTTGACAGTAGAATGCAAGACAAAGTTATTGTCGTGATAGTACTTAAGCATATCTATAATGGAGTCCATGTTCGAATTTGCCGAGTATTTAACTTGCAACAAGATCCCAGTTACAATTTACCTGACACTCTGATAAATAAATTATTACATACATCAACGAACGTGGACATTTTTTACGAATGATATTGGAATGCCTTATGTTAATCCTACTCCATGTTTCACGTAACATTAGCGTCGCGTTCAATCTCGTTACTTTTACAGCAATCTTCATCATCAATCATGACCCGGTTATGTAAATACAAGAATATTAAAAATGAGAGAAAACGAAAGAAAGAGAGAAATCATAAATATATTATTACACGCTCCGACCTTTTGCGCGAATTTTCTCCTTTCGCATAAAAAATTCTCAGGGCATGACCACGTAAGTACCTTAATTGCCGCGTAACTCGATTACGTAAATTAATTAATTAATGCGATATCGGAGCGGCCACCTTTCGGTTGCCTCTAGTAAAGCAGAACACATTTCGCGAACGGTTAATAGCCCGACCAAATTTCTCACGTGATTTTACTTGCCTTCTTTTGTGTTTATTTGTTCTCTGTTTATATAAAGATGGTAGGTTGTCTGACGACGGTTTGGATTGACCTTTTCTATCAAAAAATATGTTCAACACAAATTAAATTCGCGGGACATACTGCGGGCGTCATTCGAATCACCCGATAGATGCACTTTAGACCCAATTAAATTGCCGAACTTTCCAACCTCGTAGATATTAACGGAAGCGCTATCACGGGTATCAGCCAACAATCTTTTGACGTTTCGTACTGTCGTGTCGTTTCGACGTGTCGTTTTATCGTCGAAAGCAGCGACAATTACGAGACTAAAGAAGTTCGCAGGAAATATTTAAAGAATAGTACTCGCGCTCTACAATAGACTCAATAGATCCACCGATCTTCTTATTGAAAAGTGAACATAAAAATTGAAGACTACGACAGCAAATATCTTTCAAGGAATCAATTTCCAAGACTCGTTGCTCTGCATCATAATCATTTGCAGACTGATCGGTACGGTAAAGGAATTTTAATTACCCCTATTACTCGACGCATTCGGCAATTTCACTCTATCCTTCTTACAAACTCTCCGTTTTCTTCTATACTATGTATCTGACCTGTCCTATTCAAACAATTTTTCGCAATTGCCGTGGTCACCGTGTTTACTTCGATTACTTTGCTTTGGCTGTTAATACCTCGTCTTAAAAAAGATGATGTCCTCTTCATAAAAATACACAGACTTGTATTGTGAATCGAGATTATTTCATGGGCTAATAATGCTCATACTCATCGAGGTAGATTTTAGCTAGGGCATCACAAATTCTCCGATAAATGTTAGAGAAGTCACCTGACTACTATTTTTAAACTATCTTTTTTAGTCCTTTAAACCTATTCGGACGAAGTCGTATCGTGGTTTGTATGGCGTATGTGTACATCGATTTCACGAGGAACGTTTTGTCAACCAGTTTCGCAAATGAAATAATCAACGAATCCTTCGCGGTCGGTCGCGCCGGACTATGTACACGCAATTTTCCAATTAAAGAAGACCATTCGTAAAGAACGCAACGTGAATGCGGAGAGCGATATAATCAAGTGCGTGTAACAAATGGAAGTCGTAAGCGAGGATGAAATCGCTGAATCTGTGGCTCGACGTGCGTCACCATTTCCACATGACTACCTGTTACGATGCGACACGGTTTTTCTTGATTATTTAATGCTGCGTACTGCGTGGTTTCTCTCTAGAGTGAATGTGCAACTGAAAAAAAGTTGCGGCGCATAATGATAAGAATTTCGAATCGGGTTAAAACTTCACTGTTATTATTTCATTATTTATTCTATCTTCACTGTTATCGTTTCTCCATGCTCTTATTTGTGAATCCATTAAAATTAAAATATGCAACGTTTGTCTTTAATATTTAATACAGAAGCCTCTATTTACCATTTGGTTGGAAAAAGTTGTCATAAACACAAATAACAGAAATCAGCTAAAAAAAAAGCAATGAGGAAAAAACTAACAGGAGACTGAAAATATTATACATACATATATGCTGTTGCGCGTAAACATCGTTGATTTAATCCCATCTGTAAATATTAACAAAAATAACGGGCACAGCCAAGCTGCCGTTCCACGTGTCATAATTCAACGCTACGTGTCGGGAAAAGCTCGGATAACAATGGCGGAGCTAGCAACCCTCGCGTGTTCCATTCGGTATCGCGATACTTTCAGAGTCGATCATTTTAATCATGCTCGTGGCCCCATGATATTTGTTACTCCGACATTGCAATATCGTAACCGGGAGCGTTATTGCCAGGGACATTGGCGATAGTAAATCCATTGGTTCGGCAATATCGCGGCTGGACCACGCCGGCTTGGCACCCGTTTAGACTCGATTTTAATTTTCCCCTGTGCGACAAGCAAGACGGCCATGAATTCATAAATCGGAAGGAGATTCGCCGAATCTTGAATTTGCACACGTCTAATTTACGAGTTTCAGCACATCGTTCTGAATATTTTGATAAATTCTTGCAGGTATTTTGTTAATCTATTGTGACCACGAGTAATCTTTACTTACCATTATTGAAATAAGTTTGACAACGATGTACTCTCTTCACGTATTTACGAAAATGTCATCTATACTTCAATTAAATTCATTATTTTGCTATTTTTATTATCTATGTGGTTGCATGCTCACTCAAGGTAAGGAACAACAAAATGTATGTTCTCCATTAGTGTGGTGTGTAAATAAATTTTTAATTAAAGCTGATCGCACGTGGAATTTATTAAAAAACGTACAAAAATTTCTTGCCTACCGTGATGGTTCGCGTTACGTCGTACTCACTGTTTTTCAATATTTCGTCCCAGTTGACACGTGAAACTGAATTTTATGTGCTTACACACATTCCATACTGACGTGTGATCGAATTTACAATATCTACAACATTATTCGCTAAATATTTTAGTCGGAATGCATCCCGAACGCTCTCGCGAGATATTTTAGATTGATACTGAATTCCTAATCGAAAGAAAACACGCGCTCGAGTAGGGATTTTCGTATCCAGATTATGGAAGACGGATCCAAAGTTTGCCGGTAGTGGATTGGCAATCTCAACCAGCGTTTGCCGGAGGACCGTTCACGGAGCGCAGATTACTGCGAAGAAACATATCCTCGGCAACGTGTTCGTGGCCGTTGTTGGTCTTGGATCCCCTTACTTCACTATTTTCCATTCTTTCCCTCTACCCGCATTTATTCCTTGAACAAATGGAAACGTGTTGTTGTAAGTCCTCTTCTGTAGGTTCCTCAGAGCAATGATCTCATTGCATAGAAGAAAAAGAAGTCGACGAGGTGGAAGAAGAAACAATTCTTCTCCTTTTGTACGTTCTTCGACAACGGTCTTCTTGATGCGTGTAAGAATAAAGAAACGAAAAGCGCAAGAGTAGTCAGAATGCCTTCGTGAACCTCCGGTCAATGATTACAGCCAAGGTGTGCATTGGTGGTGATCGGTGAGCAAAATTTCCTACTAATTATCCGCGGGTCCAGGTATCCTTTACCACCAGCCTGAAAAGAATTTGTCGTGCGTTAATCGCGAACGAGATCTCTTCACCGGACGACAACAGCGGTGATGTTTTTATTTGCGAGACGTTGTTAACTCAAGAGACGCTTTTTTCATTATTTCGTAACGTGAGACCCTTTTAATCAAAAGTCGGATTCTGCATTGTACTGCTTCGTCCCAATTATTCCGAGTCGAGCCGAAACTTGTACTCACTTCATTGTCACGATCCCAGGTCCTTCTAATGGGCGCATTATATGCAAGATTCGAGATCGTTTGCTAAATAGTTTGTTCTTGTTTATATTGCATAAAATCGCTGACAATTATTTGGACAATAGAGATTTTATATTTTACGCTCTATGTAACTACTTCAATTTTATTGTAAGCGAAGTAAGAACCTTTTCCCGCGGACAAACTGATTAATTTCGATCGGTTCGATAATGCAAGATTGAAAATTTACGATAGGTTCTTACGCAGTGAAATGGACGAGCGTTTCTCGGATGGGTTGAACAAATTTTTACTTTTCTGTGGGAAAGCGGATTGCGGAGGGAAAGAGCTTTTTATCCGCTCGTATATTGAACCTGCCGCGTAAACAGTTTAATTGGCATTTAAACTGCACGCGGTAAATTTAGATGCTCGACATCCATTTATTTCCGTTAAGGTATTGCGTTCGACGATCGCGATTAATTAATTTCCTGGCTGTTTCAACGTACACCGTGTTCTCGATTAAAAATATTATTAACATACATTATCGACTATTAATATTAACGTCATTGGTAAAATAAGCTGGGTCTTTGAAGTCAATATTTTATGAGAATCTTTTTAAATCCTTCCGACTGATCGTAAGCGTAAAGTAAAGCAAGACCCAATATATTCGATGTAAATTTGATAATGAACGATGATTTTCTTTTAATGAATAAATTTACAAAAAAATTCTATTTTCAGAGGAATTGTAGACGAATTGCATTTACTATCGACTCCCAATAAAACTGTATGTATAATTAATCATGTCTATAAACTGCGTTCACCGCAGATCCACAGTTTACGTTTCGTTTAACACAAAATTAAATTAAATTCAGCATCGATATCAACATTCCTCATTAGCAAACAAACAAGGAAACAAATTAACCTCCCTTCAAGTTGCGAACCAGTTAATTGAAGCTTCACGTTTTTAATTTTGTCAATATTAACTGCCAAATAAAGATCGTCCCGCTCTAACTAAACACATCACTCTTTATCTATCCTTCTCTTTCTCACTTTGGTACGTAGGACCTCGCGACGATTCATCATCGGCTTCCACTTAATTGCATCTTCAATTTACCGAGAAAGAATCTAACACCTTCCATCAATTTCGTCGCGTCAAAAGTAACGCCAAAAAAGGGGTGGAAGAAATTTATAAAGGGAGTTTAAAAATGAAATTTGCCACTTACCACCGCCGCCGCCGCCGCT